CGATGGCCCTCCCGGCCTCCTGCTATGTTCTACGTGCCCCTGTTCTTGCGCTCGCTCGCTTGCTGCCGCTTAGTTCTTTCCCCCTGTGGTTCTCGCCCCAGGGCATTACTCCCTCCTGCGGCCTAATCCTTTATCTCGTCTCACTCTGGATTTCTCTGTTGTGCACAGTTCGTCCATATTCGGTCTCTCGAGTGATGTGAAGTTATTCGGGACTCACCGGTCCCGACACCGGCGGCTGGAAGGCTGTGGCGACAGTGGATGTATGTATGATGATGAGAGCATGCTGATGTGGCATTTTGGCTGAGGTGGCACTGCATTGCGTTGTGGGTGGTACCAAAGCTATGACCAGTCATCGAAATGCCCATCGGCTCAATTGGTGAGAAATTTGTGGTTGGGGGTAGCTATCTCCAGGTACGTTGTTCCCTTACCTTATGTACCCTGTCAATCTCTTCTTACTGTGAGGAAGTGAGTCCAACCTTGAGTGTCCTCTCTTTGTGTGAGGAGTCGTGAGCGCTCTACCTTGAGAAACGACATTCTTCCCAGTGGTGCATCTGGCAGGAGAGGGCGGTGCCTCTGAAGGGCCCTAGTCGAAGCACGGGTAACGGTCACCATGCCAACCCATGGGAGTAGTACACGCAGGTCATGCTGCTTTGTCCTTTGCAGGCTCTTTGCTGCGTTGATAGCAGGGGTGTGCGGACTGACCAGTCCTTTGCAGACGCTCTCCAGACCGTCTATAAATGTTTCTGGCGGGGGTACGAACTGTCCACTAGCTGTGATCGTCGTCCTGATTGCGACGTTAAATAAATTCTGAGGACCGTGGGGGCTGTCCTTAAACTGCCACTTGATCAGCCAGATCGTTCAGACGTAAGGCTTGTTGCACATGCGGATAAATAACGCGCAGTTCTAGTCATAAGCATACTCGTTGGGCACAGGGGTGGGCCGTGAATGCACACCTTAAACACTGCCGGTTGATGATGGCTACATGCACGTTGGATACAGGGGAGGAAGATTCCAATTGAGACTCAATTGGCAAACACATCTATACCCATTGTGCATGTATGTGCTCACATAGTTTATTTTTATTTTGATTAGTTGGTTGACTGACTTTGACACCTCACAAACAGCCTAGATTAGAATTGTAGTGTTCTACCATAGCCAGTCCTTTTCGAATCTGTTGTAAGAGAACTAATCAGAGTAAATATAGATTATGTGTTCGGTCTGTCTAAATGTTGTTGATACCGCTTGAACGGTAGTCTAGGTAACTCGTCGGATATTATTTTTATTTTTCATTTATTTTTTAAACCGGTCAGATGCATGTTGCGGTAGGCTCCAGAGTGGACACTAGTGCAGGCAGCATCTGCCTAGCCGATGAGTGGATCAGAGGGTGGTGAAGGTACAGCTGATGATAGAAGGCAGACTAGGCGTGATACGCTTAAGAGTACCTGCAGTGTTCCAGGTCCTACTACCGGGAGACGAGAGAAGGCTAAGTGCCGAAGCAAGGGCCTGTAATCTTGAGACTGTGAAGGAAGCTGCAGCAGCTGTAGAAAGAACATTAGCAGCAGCAGCGGCTAGCGCAGTAGTAATGACTAGATCTGCGGCATCGTC